GTATTGTGATTTGTCAAAACATTACAATGAAACAGGTTTACTGACAACATATGTATAATTACTGCAATACTGCAAAACAAATAACTTTGATAATGCTAACTTATTTCTACATAGGGCATACAGCATATTAGTTACTAACCTAAACGACGGACACGCATAGCGTGTGACAAGGCTTAACATCTTAAAAAAAGATGAGAAAAATGGAAAGAATTTTTCGTAATCCGTTTAAATATTCACAAATAATATTTTATTTTAAAATACACATACAATTAGGAGTTAATTTGTGCAAATGTTGTAAAAGCAAAACAACAAAATGTTCCTTGCCACATTCGGTTACGAATTACGTGAATCACGTAAATGATCAAAACGGTCGTCGAGTAGTTTGCATCACAGAATATTACTGTTGGTTATTTAACATTTCTGTTGTAAAACAGCTGTCAAATAATAAATGTTTTCCTACTTACCTCACACTCACTGTTAAAAAATGCCGTGGTGTCGCGCTGGAACAGTAAAGCCCCGCCCTTCTTTGATTTGATTGGCCATCTAAATCATTCTGACATTGACGAGCGCTGTCTGGAGTTTTTTTTTTTTAAATATTGAATATATTGAATTTGGCAGGGACATTTTTCTGCGTGAGAAAATGGATGTGTGGCGTGAGAGCGTGTCAATTGCAAAGAACAATAGCAGCAGCAGCAGTATGGTGTAACATTTATTTGAAACACATGTATTTGGTACTTGATGCCTTATATCTTTAATTCCTTTCATTCTTTTCATGGCTTTGGAAAACTTGGCTCGGATGTTTCTCTGCGTCGCTTTTTGCATAACTCCGGGTCGTCGACAACAAACTTCGTTGCAATTTCTTTCTAGGAATTAAATGCTTTCTCTGAATCTTTAAAGTCTCTCCGCGAGCGATCGTACAGGTGCGGATATATTTGTGCCAGCTCAGCTATTCGACACAGTGTATTTATGTTGCGGAGATGTTGTTCTCCTTTCTGACCTCCATTGAATGAGAAACGAACCGGGGGAAAAAATCACACGTCTAAGAAGGTGGAGTTCCAGAACACACCCACCGATTGCGTAACCGCCACGGACCAATGGAAGCTCAAAGGTGTTTAGGAGTCAAAAGGTGCGTTCGACTTCATGCGGCGCCGCGCAAACCGATCGGCGGCTGACTTGAAGCAGTGCATGCCGGTTAGAAATTTTGTCCGACTTGAACCGGCGCCGACGCCACGT